TATTTATTTGATCCATTCTCGTTTTTCATGAACTGAGGTCGACCTGTGATGTTATTGAGGTCGACCTGTGACGTTTTGCTCTCAAAATTATACGTGTTTTTGGGTTTTCAAAAAGATCTAAAGCTGTAAAATGAAGTATGTTGTGTTCTATTCGTCAGATTCGGTCGACCATTTCCTTACCGTGGTCGACCTATGATGTTGCTGAGGTCGACCGATTTCCTTTTGCATTCCAAATCTTAAGCCTTTGAGCCTATTCAGACTTGTTTTCTATTTGACGAGGTCGACCTATGATATTTCTGAGGTCGACCTATGCCGGCAAAAATACGAGTTTTGACATTCTTCTACGAATTATTTGTGCGAAATTAACTGAGGTCGACCTGTTGTGATTTTGAGGTCGACCTAATCTGTTTCGCACTCAACATTTTAAGCATTTGGGGCTATTCAGACTCGTTATCTATTTGCTGAGGTCGACCTATGACGGCAAAAATACAGTTTTGCCGTTCTTCTACGAATTATTTGTGCAAAACTAACTGAGGTCGACTTGTTGTGATTTTGAGGTCGACTTAATCTGTTTCGCACTCAACATTTTAAGCATTTTGGCCTATTCAGACTTGTTTTCTATTTGCCGAGGTCTAACTATGATGTTTCTGAGGTCGACCTATGACGGCAAAAATACGAGTTTTGCCATTCTTCTACGAATTATTTGTGCGAAACTAACTGAGGTCGACCTGTTGTGATTTTGAGGTCGACCTAATTTGTTTCACACTCAACATTTTAAGCATTTGGGCCTATTCAGACTCGTTTTCTATTTGTCGAGGTCGACGCATGATGGCAAAAATACGAGTTTTTTGCCATTCTTCTACTAATTATTTGTGCGAAACTAACTGAGGTCGACCTAATCTGTTTCGCACTCAACATTTTAAGCATTTGGGCCTATTCACACTCGTTTTCTATTTGTCGAGATCAACCTATGATGTTTATGAGGTCGACCTTTGACGATTTTTACGAGTTTTAGCTCTCTTGTTCGACCAATATTTGTGCGTAATTAGCTGAGGTCGACCTATGTTTTTTTTACTCCAATTGTTACGGGTTTGGGTTGACTCATTCTCGTTTTTAATTAAATGAGGTCGACCGTTTCTGATTGAGAGGTTGGCCTATGATGTTTTGCACTCTAATTTTGTCCATCTTCGAACCATATTTGTGCTTAATTTTCTGTGTTCGACAATTGGTGTGTATTAGGTCGACCTATGATGTTTTAGAGGTCGACCTAACGTTGTTCTGTTTTATCTATACGTGCAGTTTTAGGTCGACCGCTTTATGGAGAGGTCGACTGAGTTTTGTTCATTTTGAAAATGTGACTAACGTGTATTCTCACTTGTTTGATCACAGGATGTTTGGCAACAAAAAGAAAAAAAAGTCACAAAAGACTGTTGCCTCACGTTCGGAATGGGAAGAGTTCAATCCCACTTTGTTCCAGACCAAGGAGCAAAGTGACAACTTTGAAGAGAGGAGAATGCACAACCGCATGGTGGCTCCTGTAAGGCCATTAACGACGGATGCGTATTCTCATTTCGTGAATTACGGGTTTCTAGGACCCTTTTATCGAGCAAGAGTGGCTAAAGGTGATATCTCTGAATGCACCATACTACCCAAAAATGCTACAGTACTTCTACAACAACATTGTCTACCAGCGTAATGCAAATGGATCCATTCATGCATTTAAAACCTATGTGAATGGGTTGGAGATGCGCATCATCAAGAATGTGTTGGCGCAAGTACTAGAGGCTCCAAACGAGGGGAAGAGAATCAATTCTTACACTGCTTGGAATGAAACTCATTTCTTGAGAGCCAAGTAAATCCAGACGGTATGTGGCCTTGATGAAGAGGAAGATGCTCAGGGTCGCAGTAGGCCAACGAGTAACCACCTGACAGTTCAAGCCAGAGTTCTTCACGACATGCTTTCCTACAACATTCTGCCAAAGGGTGGACATCGGGAGACAGTCACCTACTTCGGCATGGAATTGTACCTCCTCCTAGAGTTGATGTATTAATACCATGACATCTTGTCAGGCTCCCGTGACCTACTTAGTTCCTCCTCCAGTTTAGTTACGCGCCCCTAGCATTGCTTAACGTGTAACTTTTCAGATACTTATCAAAAGACCAGCATAGCACGAGATCTGGAATAAGACAAGGCAAGCTATACTTCAAGACTCACGATAGTTCTAAGAGAGGAACGTATGCGGTTGAAGGAGTAACCTCCACTCCGAAGAAGGGGGAGCGGTTCTTTCTAGCAGTTATCCAACAAGCGGATTTCTATGGTGGTAACCTCCTCGTGGCTATAAATAGGAGGAGGAGTCGACAAAGAAAGGGGTCCCAAAACCAATACTTTGACACACATGTCAAGTTTATCCTTTTTCTTTTCTCTATTATGTAGCAATAGACGTAGTTTTTAGTTTGGCGCTCTCACCGAACCTCTATAGGAGTAGAAGTAACTTAATTTAGATTTTCATTCCCAGAAGCCATCAGTCAAACACCCTCGTTCGAACTTTGTCCGAAGAGGTGTGAGTTGTGTCTTAGTAATCGTTGTCCAAAAAAGTCAAAAGTGCAATTCAATTCATCGCAAGTTTTCTCGTCGGAAAATAATACTAAACCACAATGTAAATAATAATAAGTATATATACATGGCTTCATTATTACACCTGGGGGAAAATTGCAATCTAATGCAAATTTTAGGAGATATCAATCTACTGATAACGATAAGGTTATGTAATTTGTATAAAACTAAAAAACAATTCAATAGCATTATAATTGAGCACTAAGTGTACCCACCAAACTAAGTAACATCTAAATATTGGATTAATGTGAATTTTGAAAAGTTTAAATACTAAAATGTCATAATAAATTATTTTAGGTACCAAATCATAATTCCCAATAGCATTTTCATTAAAAAGATAAATTTAAAATACCAAATTGTAAAATATAATAGTTAAAAAATTATAATATACCAACAATCCACAAATCCAACCTAGGCATCATGCATCCAAAAGGTTATGTCCATTTCCATAGTCAAATATGGACACCTGCCCATCCAATATTATGCAATACAATTAAACCCAAGGGCGGATCTATGTTGAACATAGGGTGGTCCCGGACCCTAGCATCTTAATATTTTGTACAAATTTTATAAGTATTACTTATTCTGAAATGTATCATGTAATAGCTAGGTGGTCTAATGAAAAATAAGCTTTACTTGTGTCTTCAAGCATACAGTTTGATTCACAGGACTATCTTTGACATATCTATTTTGTTTTACCAACTTTTTATACTTTATTAATTTAATCATCCCTCTACAATTCCCAAACCAATTGGAAACTCCCTATTTACTATGAGAGAGTACAAATAAAAGGTCACCTCTTTTATTTAGTTTAACTAATTCAAGGTCTCAATTTCCGTTACCATTCCCAAAATCAAACGGCAAGAGTGATAGTCTAAAGTTTTAGCGTGGATACTATTTTGAGTGATTTCAATAATCTCAAAAAACATCGTGTACTTCTAAAATAACTATAATTTTTTATTAAATTATTTTTGACCACTCCGGTCTCGAAATCCTGTCTCCGCCCCTTATTAAGCCATCGCCCCCTTACCCACCAAGTTGCAATTAGTACCCTGAGCTTAGGGATGGCAATGGGTCTGGTTGGGTTGGGTTTTGCCAAACCCAAACCCATGGGTTTATTCGTGAAAAAAAAATCCTGGGGTAAAACCCACTGGGTTTGAAAAACTCAAACCCAACACAACCCGCTGGGTATCCGTGGGTTCATGGGTACCCACGGGTTTTTGTCGTAAAAAATTTACAATAAGAAGCTTCTATCAAAATTAAAGTCAAATATCAATCTCTCAATACAAATTATCCATATATAAAACACCATTCTAGAAAATTCAAGCAAATCACAAATTAACTATACAAATTGTTCAACACCAATCTAGAAAACTCAAGAAAATTGAAGCAAATCACAAATTATCCATAAATAACATGATTAATTGAAGCTTCTTCCTTTCAATTAAGTTTCTTCACTATCCACTCGATAACATCAACTTCATTCTACACAATTTGAAATAAAAAGTTAGACATGTCTCCACAAACATAAATAAGATTAGTTGTTTAAAATCTTAAATATACCGAGAAACTTAACTATATGGGTGTGTGCGGGTACTCATGAGTCGGGTTTACCTAAACCCAAACCCAACCCGATGAATTGTAAACGGGTTTAAACCCAAACCCTGCCCAAAACCCGTCAACACAAATTTTACCCACGTTGACTGGGTTGGGTCGGATGGGTATCCATGGGTTCAGGTTTTGTTGTCATCCCTACCTGAGCTTGATCATATATATAATAGTACTCCTAGATAAGTATAAGTCATGTAACATCCCCATGGGTGGATCATTCATGAATATATATTTTATTCGAGGGGATTGAATGTGGAATCTCAATTGATTGCTAAATGAGTGGATCGTGACAATTGAATTGATAGCTTTTAAAATATTGGCATGGGCTGGATGAGAAATCTCAAGGTATAAACACCATCGATAGTGGGTCTTCCTATCATTGCAAGTTTACTTATACGTCTCAAGTGAGTGAATATCACTAGTGCTGGTAAAAGGTTATCTCGGTAATGGTGTAATCGATAACTGAACATGAATTGATGGGGGAGCAGTGGGTGCGAAGAGGAGAGGGGGGAGCAGTGGGTGCGGCGGTGTGTGGGACTGAGAAATTTCCAGGGGAATTGGTCGACATTTAGCCTGGGTAGGGAACGCTGGGGAATCAGGGATGTGGGCTGCGGTGGTAACAATCTTTAGGTTGACCGGCTGATATGGCATCTTTGACTGCCACGTAATAAAATTTCTTCCACCTCAGCATAACCTTTGCCAGCTCACAATCATCTAACATAATTGGGAAAAATTGCAAGTTTGGTCATTGAAATTACTTAAAAAGTTCATGTTTGTCACTAAAAATAATTTATTCAATACGTAGTCACTTAAATTAGGTTAACAATCCAAGTTTGGTCATTGGTCGTTAGTCTCCGTTAACTTTTGCTGATGTGGCAGTCAACTCTATTAGTTGACCGTTAAAGGAGCGTTGTGGCAATTAAAATAAAATATTTTAATTTGCCACCTCATTATCAAAATTATTTAAAAACAAAAGATAAAATCTAATTATCTAATTAAATCATCCCTACCCACCTCTCACAACATGAATGCTCAAAATGCTGAGAGTGAAAGCAACTCAAAATCCTCTAAAATATGATGTCGAAGCAACTGATCTCGCTCTCCCACAAATCCATCGTTGTCTTGTCGCCTCTCTTCACAACCTGTCGCGACATCATCGACGTCAGCTCCTCCAACCTAGCTGTCCTCTTCGACGAATCAGGGTTCAGCGTCTCGATCGGGAGGGGAACGATGGTGGGTGACGAAGGTTGTGGGTGGCGGGGTAGATCGTGTAGATGGAGTCGAATCCGGCTGCGGATCTGAGAAGGAAGATCACTGCTCTCGTTGGTATTATTATTAGTATTGGATGGATGGGAGGGGAATGATGATGGCTGATGAAGCTTGTGGGCGACGGGGCAGAGCGGGTATACCTGAGAGCGGAGGAGCCATAAAGGTCGAGGCAGGAGTAAGGGGACGTGGCGGGAGAGGATATCGGTGAAATCGTGTACCATGGCACGAAAGTTGGAAGTGTCCGTGGTGAGAACGGTGGTGGGTCCCAGCCTTGAAGCCCGAGTCCTTTTTCTTCGGGTTCCGGGTATAGGAGGAGGTTGGTGATTGGCAGTCCTTACCCCGTTGCGTGCGGAAGTGAAGAAGAAGGTGATGATGGCTGCGCAAGCATGGCAGGAGATGCGGGGATAGTGGTTTTGTGGTGGTCAGATCTTAGGAACTAATGACGATGGTGGTGGTGGTGGGAGGAAGTGTTGGAAATGAATAGTTTTGAAAGCTACAGAGTCTCAAGGGGGGAAAACTACCACATTGGCAGTTTTACTTTAGTGAAATGTGTATAAAGATAGGAGCCTCTCTCCTAAGGGCATGCCCCTTGGGGTGGCCCACTTTTATGGGAGAGGGAGGATTATTATCTAGTAATTAATTATTAATCGGTTATTCTTTATCCTAGATAAATACGAGTTGGAAGAGGATAATCGGTTAAAAAGTAATATTCGAAGGATAATCCAGCAAGATTTATCTTAACCGACTCGGGTTTAATTAAGGAGTGATTATCTCCGTAATTATCATGACTTATTCCCCATGAAAGAGGATTATTCTGGGGGACTCGGCTCCTATAAATAGACGACCCCTTAGGCGCTTTAAACACACCACAAAGAGCATAAACACAATAGAGAGAGTGTTCATAGAGCTCCGGTTTTCGCACAAAACCGCTGAGCATAGGAGAGGAGTTGTTTTAAATTGGAGACGACCGATTGATAGTATGTCGCGCATCGAGGGCAGTGCTGCGGACATCTTAAAGAGAGCGACCTAGTCCGCGACTTAGCTCTAGATTCGGTAACCTCACTCTTGATTGTTGTTCTGTTTCTAACAATTTTAAGACGTTCGACTGCTGCTATGTCGACTAAACAGAACAACATGGCCGGATCTTGTGCTGTCGATATCAATCTACCCTTTCGCTTTGTTGGAGACAACTTCCGTCGCTGGAGACAAAAGATGGAGTTCTACCTGACAACCAAGAGGCTGGTGCACTGCCTCACCACTATGCCGGTCGAGCTACCTGAAGAGGCGACTGATGAGGAGAGGGATGCTTCCGTCGAGGCAAGGGAGGACGACTTCCTGTGCAAGAACTACATCCTCAAGGGCCTGGCGGACGACCTCTACGACTATTATGCGGACAAAAAGAAAACCGCAATGATAGTCTAGGATGCGCTCCAAAAGAAGTACGACACGGAGGCGGAAGGAGCTAAGAAGTATGTTGTCAGCCTCTACCTACGCTACCAGATGGTGGATGACAAGTCCGTCGAAGTTCAATCCAGAGAAATTCAAAAAATAGCTCATGAGATCATCTCTGAAGGTATGCCTCTGGACGATCAGTTTCAAGTTGCTTGCATTATTGATAAGCTGCCCCCTTTGTGGGAAGATTTTAAGAATATGATCAGACATAAAACTAAAGAATTTTCACTGAAAAGTTTGATTACTCGTCTAAGAAATGAGGAAGAGTCCCTCAAGCAGGATATGAAAGAAGAGGTGATGGTCGTCACTGCTAAATGACCCACCCCTAGAGCTCTGAAACCTAACCAGAAAGGTTTCAAGAGTAAGAACTAGCAGGTTCGCCCAACCAGAATGATGACTCTCGAGGTAACCAAAGGGTCATAGCCCAAACCTCAAAGAATGATCCACCGTTTATCTGCTATAACTGCGGTAACCCAAGTCATATGGCAGAAAAGTGCAGGAAGAAGCCTAACCCTATTGCTACTGCCACGGTTAAATTGACAGAAGAGGACTTGATAGCCATGATCACGGATATGATCGCTGAAGTAAACCTCGCCGGTGACTTAGAAGGATGGTGGATGCATATAGGTACATTGAAGCATGTATGCAACAATTGTGTTATATTTAAAACATACATGTTAGCAATTACTGACAAGAAAGTGTTGTTGGGGATTGCCCACACCACTATGGTTGCTCGTTCTGGTGAAGTGGAGCAGAACTTCACCTCTGGGAAGAAGTTGGTGCTCAAGGATGTGTTGCACACTCCAGAGATGAGGAAAAATCTTGTTTCGAGATATCTTCTTAATAATGTTGGGTTTAATCAATCTATTGGGACTGACTTGTATACCCTTACTAAGAATGGGAGTTTTGTGGGAAAAGGATATGCATGTAATGGGATGTTCAAGTTGTTGAAATTAATAAGATGAATTCTTCAGTTTACATGCTGTGTGATTTGAATGTTTGGCATGCTCATCTTTGTCATGTGAACACACAAATTGTGAAGAATTTAAAAAAGCTATGATATATCCCTAAACTCTCAATTAATTAATTTGATAAATGTGATTTCTGTAGCCAAGCTAAGATAAAGAAAACACTCCATAAATATGTGAATAGAGAATCAGAACCCTTAGATCTGATTCATTCTTACATTTTTGAACTATATGGGACGTTAACTAGGTCTGGCAAGAGATACTTTATCACTTTCATAGAGGATTGCTCTGATTATTGCTTTGTTTATTTGATGAAAAACAAAAGTGAGGCCCTTGAAATGTGCAAAGTATTTGTGGTTGAATTTGAAAATCAGTGAAATAAAAAAATAAACGACCTAGGAGTGATAGAGGATCAAAGTATGACTCTAATCCCTTCAAGGAATTCTATAGCTCACATTGTATCATTCATGAAACCACGACACCATATTCACCAGGAATTAATGGTAAAGTTGAGCAGAAAAATAGGACATTTATAGAATTAGTTGTGGCTATTATGCTCAATTCTGGAGCTTCTTCTTGGTGGGGGTGATATTTTGTTGACAGTTTGCTATGTGCTAAATCGTCTTCCAAAAAAAAAAAAGAGTGACCCTATGAGATCTTGAAGAATAAGCCACCTAATCTGTCCTATTTAAGAACGTGGGGCTGTTTGGCCTACGTAAGAATTCCGGATCTTAAGAGGATTAAGTTGGCTAGTAGAGCATATGAACGTGTCTTCGTTGGCTATGCTGCCAATAATAAGGCATATAGATTCAATTTCCATTTAAAATGAGAAATAATGGGGTTAATGTACTACCAGCTATAAGAGATGATGGAACTAGTGGGGGTGTTGGATCTGACAATGAAATCAGAAAAAGTAGAAGAGCTAGAATCTCCAAAGATTTGTGATGACTTTTCTATAGTATACACCCTAGAGGATCCCAAAAATTTGCAGGAAGCATTAACTTCCATAGATGCATATTTTTGGAATGAGGCTGTTATAGATGAAATGGAATCGTTGGAAGCTAATAAGACTTGGCATCTAACAGACTTACCTTTTGGCTGCAAAGTCTTAGGTAATAAATGGGTTCTAAAAAACAAACGGAAACCTGATGGTGCAATCGAAAGGTTTCGAGCTCGCCTAGTAGTTATGAGCTACAGGCAGAGAGAGAATATAGATTTCTTCGATACCTATTCACCAGTATCTGGAATAACATTCATTCATGTTATGATTGCTCTTGCTGCCTTGAAAAATCTCGTGGTACACCAAATGGATGTTAAAACTGCCTTTTTGAATGGTGATCTGAACGAAGAAATCTATATGGAACAACCAGAAGGGTTTGTTATCCCTGAACATGCCTCGAACGTCTGTAAGTTAGACAAATCATTATATGGTTTGAAACTGGCTCCAAAACAGTGGCATGTGAAGTTTGACACTCTCGTTCTCTCACATGGCTTTAAGGTGAATGAAAATGACAAGTTTATTTACTGCAAGTCAGAGAATAACACTTGCACTATCATATGTTTGTATGTAGATGACATGTTGATATTTGGTACAAATATCCACGTGGTCAATGAAGCAAAAGCCATGTTGAAAGAGAGTTTTGAGGTGAAAGATCTGAGAGAAGCAAAGTTAATGCTTGGAATCCAGATAACTAGAACAACAAATGGTTATTCTCGATATCAATCTAGCTACATAGAGAAGATCTTGAAGAAATATAACTATTTTGATTGTAAACCTGTGTGTACGATGCTAGTGTAAAGCTATTTAAGAACATTGGAGACAGTGTAAGATAATATGAATATCCTAGCATCATTGACAGCCTCCGTTATGCTGCGGATTACACTCGCCCAGACATTGCATATGTCGTGGGATTGCTTGGTAGGTTGAACAACTATCCTAGTAGAGAGCACTGGAATGCTATAGAGAGGGTCACGAGATACCTCAAGAGAACATCAAACCATGGTATACACTATCAAAGGTATCCTGTTGTACTGGAAGGGTATAGCGATGGGGATTGGAATACCCTATCAGATGACTCCAAGGCAACCAGTGTGTATATTTTTAACATCGTTGGTGGAGATGTGTCTTGGAAGTCTAAGAAACAAACAATCCTAGCTCAATCAACTATGAAATCAGAGATGATAGCACTAGCAACAGCTAGTGAAGAAGCGAGTTGGTTGAGAGGATTGTTGTCAGAGATTCCCCTATGGGAAATGTCGGTCCCTTCGGTATTGATCCATTTTGATAGTACCGCAGTAATCACTAAAGTTGAGAACCGGTTCTATAACAGAAAGAAACGACACATTTGTCGTAAGCACAATAATGTAAGAGAACTCCTAACGATAGGAGCAGTGAGGGTGGATCATATAAGATCCGAAAAGAATCTAGTTGATCCTTTGACGAAAGGATTACCTAGAGAGATAGGCCAGAATACCGCCAAGGGTATGAGACTTATGCCTACCGAACCACAGACTACAAGTGATGGTAACTCGACCCAATAGACTAGAGACGCCAAGAAATGGGTTCAAAGTTAATAGAACAACCCCCAAATTTTAGAGCTATTGAGGAGCCCTTCATCGTCCTCTGCTTTGTTATCTCAATCCAAAAGTTTCCTGGCAATTTTCGGATGCGATGAAGTTGTTGGCGATCGTCATCCGCCAGCCGGAGCAGGGCATTGATGAGAGGAGCGAGTAGGGAATATCCATACCAGCGTTTCACGGAGGAGAGCGACGACGAAAGCGTCGTTCCTTAAAAAAATATTTTTTTTTATTTCTAATAATTGTAATGAGGTGACAAAAAAAATATTTTTATTTTTTAATTGCCACATCACTTATTTAACGGTCAACTATGAGAGTTGACTGCCACATCAGCAAATGTTAACGGAGACTAACAGCCAGTGACCAAACTTGGACTGTTAACCTAATTTAAGTAATTACATATAGAATAAATATATTTTAGTGACAAACGTGAACTTATTAAGTAATTCCAGTGACCAAACTTGCAATTTACCCAACAGAATTGTTAACGGAGAGTTAACGTTTGACTAATAATTTATATTTCAATAATTATAGTCTAATTTTTCAATATTTAATAGTTATAGATAATATATTATATTTACCTTTAATATTTGATATTGAGACTTTCATTTTGATTCTTTAGTTGTTATTATTATACAAAAAGGAGAGACAAGCAAAGGACAGAGACATATGAAACAGCTGCATGCTTCTGTTTGCCAGCAAGAATTTGATAGGAAAAGCAGTAAGATATTGACAAATGAACAAATATTAAACGACAGTGAGAATGGGTACAAACACGTATACATGACCAACCCCTTTCCCTTGCTTTCATACCACCTTTTTGTGAGAATGGTCTACAGTGTGTTGTTATTTTTCTTTCAAACCTGTCAGTGATCAGTTACAACTTACAAGAGTGTGACCAATGACAATTATACCATTAAAAAAGATACTTTGAAATGAGAATAAGTATGCTCAGTTTATATTCAATTAATCTATGGAATATAGAATTATGAGTTTTGAAAATAGTAATATCTGTAATCATGAATTCGGCTACGATGCTTACAACACCGTCTGTAAGGATGTATTTATAGTGTCCATAATTGTTCGATCGACCATTGGGCGTTCTATGATCATATGTTAAACACGCGAATTGCTAGATGTTGGAAGAATATGAACGGGTATTTGCTTCCTATGTACGTTCTTAGTTGGGCCCTAACATCATTTGACCACATTTTGGAAATTTTCTATGACGAGAAACACGCTCCATAATAACCATTTTTGATGATGCTGTAATCGGGTCAAATCACGGAGTGCAAGAATCAACACCCGCTTGTTTTGTGGGCCAACCCCATTGGACCTTGTGTGGATGGGTGGGTGAGTGGGGATGCTCAAAGGTTGGGCAAATGCCCAATTATCCATGCCTTCCAATGGAGTCGGGGATCGAACACACAACCTCAAGGTAACGGCCTGAACCAAGCTCTCCCCCGTTTGGCTCCGCCTTGTTTCTCCATATTTTGTATATTCATAAATAAGAGAAGATTGATTTGTAATAGAAATATGTAATTGGTCGGGATATGACAAATGATTACAAACTTCAAACTCCCTTAATGCACAAAGCAAAAAGTTTTCAAGTAAACTTTCAAGGATACATTGTTCACAATCTTGATGCACACTTCACAAACAATTGAGTAAATTAATAATAATCAATGAGGCAATATTACTATATTTTGTTGGACTTTTTGGCATGCTCTCATTAGTCTTCATCTAAAGTAAAGAATCGTAATTATGATTGTTAATTCCTGCTCAAGAACCAAAGGGCACGTGAACAAACATGCCATGGAAACTCTACTTTGCCTCGAACAAAAGCAACCAAAAGTCATTAGAAAAAAGGATTGTTAATTCCTTCTTCATTCAAACGTTAATTAAACCCAGAAAAAGAAAACAGAGTCTGTAAAGCAGACAGACACCGAACAATCATTTCCCTCTTTAGCACAAGTCCAATCTGTCTAAGGCTGCGGCGAGAGAGAGGTTGTCGTCGACGCCTTTACCTTTGAAACCAGATCATCATTTCTACTGTTGAAAAATCTGTTACGCAAAACACTAGAATTCCCGTTTCTCCTTTTTTCCACCCATTTGTATTTGGTGGTGCCTTTTCCAGAAATTCATCCACTTCACATAGACCGATGTCTTTTATTTTGGCAAAACCCTACAAACGAAACGACGTTAGTTTATTTGCCACGTTTATCGGCTTTGCTAGTTTTCTTTTTCTGGCACTGTATCCGATAATACATGTAGCAGTATATTCAACACTAACTACAATTAGAACTTCATCACTATAATCGTACTATTACTT